GACAATATGTTTAGCTATTCTATTGTTAAAAGAAAACCCTATATATAAAAAAAAAACAAAAAGTAAGCCCCCCCCCCGATCTCAATTGTGATAAATTTTTCATTCGTAATCAGACCGAAGGGCGGAGTTCAACTGCAAAATTCTCATTTCTCTGCAAGGAATTATCATATGGAATATGTTTTTACATTAATATTTGTCTAAAAAATTCTACCCTTTTAAAAACACATTTCATATGATAATTTCTTGTAGAGAAATGAGGATTTTGCAAACTAAACTCCGTCTTTCAGCTCATGATGAATAAAACATTCATCACAATCGAGAAGGGGTGGGTGGGCGGGGCTTATATTTGGTCCATTTTTTCTTAATATACGCAGCCTTCTTTTCCCAACAAGAAATTGACAATATGTTTAGCTATTCTATTGCTGAAAGAAAACATTAAAACATTATATATAAGAAAAATAAAAACGAAAATTAAGCCCCACCCACCCGCCCCTATCGCATTTGTGATAAATTTTTCATTCGTAATCAGACCGAAGGGCGGAGTTCAACTGCAAAATTCTCATTTCTCTGCAAGGAATTATCATATGGAATATGTTTTTACATTAATATTTGTCTAAAAAATTCTACCCTTTTAAAAACACATTTCATATGATAATTTCTTGTAGAGAAATGAGGATTTTGCAAACTAAACTCCGTCTTTCAGCTCATGATGAATAAAACATTCATCACAATCGAGAAGGGGTGGGTGGGCGGGGCTTATATTTGGTCCATTTTTTCTTAATATACGCAGCCTTCTTTTCCCAACAAGAAATTGACAATATGTTTAGCTATTCTATTGCTGAAAGAAAACATTATATATAAGAAAAATAAAAACGAAAATTAAGCCCCACCCACCCGCCCCTATCGCATTTGTGATAAATTTTTCATTCGTAATCAGACCGAAGGGCGGAGTTCGACTGCAAAATTCTCATTTCTCTGCAAGGAATTATCATATGGAATATGTTTTTACATGAATATTTGTCTAAAAAATTCTACCCTTTTAAAAACACATTTCATATGATAATTTCTTGTAGAGAAATGAGGATTTTGCAAACTAAACTCCGTCTTTCAGCTCATGATGAATAAAAGATTCATCACAATCGAGAAGGGGTGGGTGGGCGGGGCTTATATTTGGTCCATTTTTTCTTAATATACGCAGCCTTCTTTTCCCAACAAGAAATTGACAATATGTTTAGCTATTCTATTGCTGAAAGAAAACATTATATATAAGAAAAATAAAAACGAAAATTAAGCCCCACCCACCCGCCCCTATCGCATTTGTGATAAATTTTTCATTCGTAATCAGACCGAAGGGCGGAGTTCAACTGCAAAATTCTCATTTCTCTGCAAGGAATTATCATATGGAATATGTTTTTACATGAATATTTGTCTAAAAAATTCTACCCTTTTAAAAACACATTTCATATGATAATTTCTTGTAGAGAAATGAGGATTTTGCAAACTAAACTCCGTCTTTCAGCTCATGATGAATAAAACATTTATCACAATTGAGAAGGGGTGGGTGGGCGGGGCTTATATTTGGTCCATTTTTTCTTAATATACGCAGCCTTCTTTTCCCAACAAGAAATTGACAATATGTTTAGCTATTCTATTGCTGAAAGAAAACATTAAAACATTATATATAAGAAAAATAAAAACGAAAATTAAGCCCCACCCACCCGCCCCTATCGCATTTGTGATAAATTTTTCATTCGTAATCAGACCGAAGGGCGGAGTTCAACTGCAAAATTCTCATTTCTCTGCAAGGAATTATCATATGGAATATGTTTTTACATTAATATTTGTCTAAAAAATTCTACCCTTTTAAAAACACATTTCATATGATAATTTCTTGTAGAGAAATGAGGATTTTGCAAACTAAACTCCGTCTTTCAGCTCATGATGAATAAAACATTCATCACAATCGAGAAGGGGTGGGTGGGCGGGGCTTATATTTGGTCCATTTTTTCTTAATATACGCAGCCTTCTTTTCCCAACAAGAAATTGACAATATGTTTAGCTATTCTATTGCTGAAAGAAAACATTATATATAAGAAAAATAAAAACGAAAATTAAGCCCCACCCACCCGCCCCTATCGCATTTGTGATAAATTTTTCATTCGTAATCAGACCGAAGGGCGGAGTTCGACTGCAAAATTCTCATTTCTCTGCAAGGAATTATCATATGGAATATGTTTTTACATGAATATTTGTCTAAAAAATTCTACCCTTTTAAAAACACATTTCATATGATAATTTCTTGTAGAGAAATGAGGATTTTGCAAACTAAACTCCGTCTTTCAGCTCATGATGAATAAAACATTCATCACAATCGAGAAGGGGTGGGTGGGCGGGGCTTATATTTGGTCCATTTTTTCTTAATATACGCAGCCTTCTTTTCCCAACAAGAAATTGACAATATGTTTAGCTATTCTATTGCTGAAAGAAAACATTATATATAAGAAAAATAAAAACGAAAATTAAGCCCCACCCACCCTCCCCTATCGCATTTGTGATAAATTTTTCATTCGTAATCAGACCGAAGGGCGGAGTTCAACTGCAAAATTCTCATTTCTCTGCAAGGAATTATCATATGGAATATGTTTTTACATTAATATTTGTCTAAAAAATTCTACCCTTTTAAAAACACATTTCATATGATAATTTCTTGTAGAGAAATGAGGATTTTGCAAACTAAACTCCGTCTTTCAGCTCATGATGAATAAAACATTCATCACAATCGAGAAGGGGTGGGTGGGCGGGGCTTATATTTGGTCCATTTTTTCTTAATATACGCAGCCTTCTTTTCCCAACAAGAAATTGACAATATGTTTAGCTATTCTATTGCTGAAAGAAAACATTATATATAAGAAAAATAAAAACGAAAATTAAGCCCCACCCACCCGCCCCTATCGCATTTGTGATAAATTTTTCATTCGTAATCAGACCGAAGGGCGGAGTTCGACTGCAAAATTCTCATTTCTCTGCAAGGAATTATCATATGGAATATGTTTTTACATGAATATTTGTCTAAAAAATTCTACCCTTTTAAAAACACATTTCATATGATAATTTCTTGTAGAGAAATGAGGATTTTGCAAACTAAACTCCGTCTTTCAGCTCATGATGAATAAAACATTCATCACAATCGAGAAGGGGTGGGTGGGCGGGGCTTATATTTGGTCCATTTTTTCTTAATATACGCAGCCTTCTTTTCCCAACAAGAAATTGACAATATGTTTAGCTATTCTATTGCTGAAAGAAAACATTATATATAAGAAAAATAAAAACGAAAATTAAGCCCCACCCACCCTCCCCTATCGCATTTGTGATAAATTTTTCATTCGTAATCAGACCGAAGGGCGGAGTTCAACTGCAAAATTCTCATTTCTCTGCAAGGAATTATCATATGGAATATGTTTTTACATTAATATTTGTCTAAAAAATTCTACCCTTTTAAAAACACATTTCATATGATAATTTCTTGTAGAGAAATGAGGATTTTGCAAACTAAACTCCGTCTTTCAGCTCATGATGAATAAAACATTCATCACAATCGAGAAGGGGTGGGTGGGCGGGGCTTATATTTGGTCCATTTTTTCTTAATATACGCAGCCTTCTTTTCCCAACAAGAAATTGACAATATGTTTAGCTATTCTATTGCTGAAAGAAAACATTATATATAAGAAAAATAAAAACGAAAATTAAGCCCCACCCACCCGCCCCTATCGCATTTGTGATAAATTTTTCATTCGTAATCAGACCGAAGGGCGGAGTTCGACTGCAAAATTCTCATTTCTCTGCAAGGAATTATCATATGGAATATGTTTTTACATGAATATTTGTCTAAAAAATTCTACCCTTTTAAAAACACATTTCATATGATAATTTCTTGTAGAGAAATGAGGATTTTGCAAACTAAACTCCGTCTTTCAGCTCATGATGAATAAAACATTCATCACAATCGAGAAGGGGTGGGTGGGCGGGGCTTATATTTGGTCCATTTTTTCTTAATATACGCAGCCTTCTTTTCCCAACAAGAAATTGACAATATGTTTAGCTATTCTATTGCTGAAAGAAAACATTATATATAAGAAAAATAAAAACGAAAATTAAGCCCCACCCACCCTCCCCTATCGCATTTGTGATAAATTTTTCATTCGTAATCAGACCGAAGGGCGGAGTTCAACTGCAAAATTCTCATTTCTCTGCAAGGAATTATCATATGGAATATGTTTTTACATGAATATTTGTCTAAAAAATTCTAGTGTTCTAAAATTTTTAGAGTTTTTTGAATTTTTTAGCTGTACTTTTAAGTTTTTCCTATTTTTTTTTTCTATTTATAAACCATCCCCGAATTATAAAAAATTCTTTAAATCGGTCAAGCCGTTTTTGAGTTTTAGCGAGACTAACAGGAACAGCAATTGATTTTTATTATATAGAAGATTAAAAAATTGGGGTTGGTGGTAGAAAGGTGAAAATTTAGGGTTACATGTATTTGTTGATGATGAATCTTAAAAAAATAAAAATCAAAAATTTTGTCCAAAAAAAAAATTAACTAAAATTTTTTTGTGTGGGCCACACTTATCACTTAGGGGTATAAAAAATAGTTTACCTATTCTCAGACCTACCGAATATAGAGATAAAAGATTTACAAACACTGAGACGCGCGAATTTTATACATAAATGAATTATTATTTTAGAACAAATTTTATTACCATAAAAAAGGTTATACTGAGTCGACCTTAAAAGATAGACATATCCTGTCGCGGACTTTCTTTAGAACTGTTGTACCCCTACTAGTAATTTTATTAAGCCTGTAAGGCAAATAATAAATTAATACTACATTATTTTAAAGTGTTCATTGTAACTACATACACGTGAATACAACCAATACCATTCTCTCTTATCGTGACGACGACCCTAAATTGCACCAATTATTTAATCTGTGCCTAATATAAAACGCCAGTCAGTGGTTTATTGCCTAAACATGAAGACGATTCGTAAAAAAATTTTTATTGTCTGGTTATTTTTAATTATATTTTTTATTTCATATGAGATCGCTCAAGAAAAGGTGAGTAAAAACCTATTTTCCAAATGTTTTTGTCAGAAATCGGATTATTTGAAAATTTCGGATAACAAGTCACAGAAACAGATTATTCATCTTTATTGTATGTAGCGATCACCTGACTCTCTCAAAATCGAAGAAGCTCTAACTGAACAAGTTAACAGATTTCAAGAAAATGTTAACACTAGACTAGAAGCTCTAGAAGCAGCGAATATGAAGCAGTTGGTAGAGCTAAAGCACCGTCTAGAAGCACTCGATTCGACCAAAATCTTAAATCTGCAGCACGTAATTAATGGTCTAGAAAGTCTCGAGCTCACAGTAGATACCAGGTTAGAACAGTTAACACATAGTATACGAACTTTCGAATCTACAAATGAGGCACAAATAGAACAGTTAACGCATCGCATAGACGCTGCCGAATCCACGAGTGCCTTGTTCATAGAAACAAGATCGATAGAAGGAGTCTTCGAATCCGCATACAATTTACAGTTCAAGCAGTTAACAGATCCTCTGAAATCCATTGACTTAAAAAATAAAACATCACGTTATCTTACACAACAAACAAAAGCGAATTTTCCAAGAAACTGTAGGGACATCAAAGAATGGGGTTACGGTTTTTCTACCATTTACATGGTCAAACCAGACCGTGCTCCTAAAGCCATAGAAGTTCTGTGTGACTTAGACGAGAAAGGGGGTGGATGGACACACATTCTAAATAGGTTTGATGGATCACAAAGTTTTGACTTTGATATGGAAGTATATAAAAACGGATTTGGTAAACTTTCGGGTGAGTTTTGGCTGGGTTTGGACAACATTCATCATTTAACTGGTAAGTTGTTAAACCCAATAGAATAAAATGAAAAGTTGTATGTAAAAATGCAGGATATAAAGAAAACGAATTGCTGGTAGAACTGGTAGATTGGGACGAAAATTATAGATTCGCCCATTATGATCGTTTCAGGATAGGCAGTGAAGACGAAGGTTATGTAGTGACTGTGTCAGGGTATAACGGTACTGCTGGAGATTCTTTGTCTTTCACCGACAAAACGAAATTTAGTACACGAAATTTTGATTTGGATAAAAACCCTGCAATGAGCTGTGCTGAATTTTGCTGTAAGTATATAACTTTAATTGCTACCCGTTTTATTGACAATTTGAAAAAACATTGCAGTTGGAAGTTGGTGGTATGGCAAGTGTAACACTTCTCTTCTCACGGGAAAATACTTGGAAGGCCATGTCCACGAAAATGAGACAAGGGATATTATGCACTGGTCCACATTCCGAGGGGACGAATATAGTCTCAAGGAAGCTAGAATGATGGTTAGACCTAGAATCGAACCAAATGACTAGCTGTGCTGGAAGCAACACATTTTTGTAAGAACTGGGGTGTGACATGAAATTAAAATTTTTGCTTGTGTTGTGTAGAGTGATAAAAGGCCTCAATAAAACTGACCTTAATCCTACTTAAACTTGTTTTAGTTTATTTTGTGGTTCACCGTCACGTCTACAGGTTGATATCAGTATTATGACTATACAGGATGTTCATTTTATCTGTTCACGCCTGACAATTTTTCTATAGGCAACATATTACACACGTTTCCGATAGCGAGGGAAGTACTGCCTAAACTCTTTAGACCAATTTTTTTTCTTAGATGTGCACTTAATTTGTTTTATTGAGAATGACTAGTCGAAAAAAATCTAAAGCTGCTTCAGTGTCATAAAAATGTTGATGCAAAAGACAGATGAAAAAAAATCCAAAATGTGAAAAAAATGAATAAAATGAAGAAAATGCAAAACAGTAAAACTGAAAAATTGAAAAATTAAAACAAAAATTAAAACTCTAAAATGGAAAACTGAAAAATCGCAACATTGTAAAATTATTACATTGGAAAAAGAAGAAATTATAAACCAGACACTGTAAAATAAATTTTTTTTAATCGAATAGAATATAGCAAAATTGAAAATTGTAAAACATAAAAATTGAATAAAGCAAAATTTTTAAAATAAAAAAAATTTAAATCTTGGAAAATTATAAGTGAAAAATAAAAAATGAAAAACTGAAAAATTAAAAATCGAGAAATTATAAGATTTAAAAATGGAGAAAAACGAAAATTCGGTTAATTGTAAAATCAAGAAATTGAAAAATTATAAAACTGAAAAATCGGAAAACGGTAAACGGAATAGCTGAACATAAAAAAAACTCTAAAGTTGAAAATTTGTAAAACTGTAACACGGAACAAATTAAAAAGAAATAGTGCAAAAACAAAAAAAAACGAAAAATCGAGTACATAAATGTAAAAAGGAGAAATTGTAAAATTAAAAAACTAAAAAATTGCAAAATATAAAACTGAAAGATCAGAAATCGAGAAAAATGATATATTTACATAAAACTCCAAAAATTAAACATTAAGACATTAAAAATTTGAAAAAAAATCGGATAATTTGAAACCGGAGAATTACAATGTTGTAAAAATGAAAAATCGAAAAATTCGAATTCGAAACACGAAAATCCGGAAAATTTTAAATTCTATAAGTACAAAATCGAAAAATTAACACAGTAAAAAATTTGAACCAAATAAATGAAAATTGAAAAATTTAATAACCTAAAAATACAAAAATTGCTAAATTACACAATTGAAAAATAAACAAATTCAGTGATTAACGTAAAAGAAATATCAAAAATTAAGACATGGAAACATTGAAAATCAGATCATTTACAAATTGAAAATTTGCACCACTGTGTAATTGGAAAATCAAAAACTTGAAAAACTGAAAAATTGAAAAGTGAGAATTTGTTAATTATAATTATCGAAAAATTATACAACTTTATAAAATTTTTAAAAATTAAAAAGTGTAATTTTAAAGTCGAGAAATTACGAAAGTGTTAAAATTGAAAAATCGTAAAATTGGAAATCTAAAATTAAAAAAATAAGAAATCATCGAAAACTGTAAAACTGCAAAATTGAAAATTCGACAAATCGATAAATGTAAAAACTAAAGAAACGAAAAATCAAACTATTGAAAAATGAAAAACTGAAAACTCAAAAAATCCAAAAATCTCTAAATTTAAATTGAATATTTAAAAAACAAAAATTGAAAACTCAAAAATGGAAAACTGAAAAATCTCAACATTGTAAAATTGTTACATTGGAAAATGGAGAAATTATAAACCAGACACGGAAAAATAAAAATTTTTAAATCGAATAGATTATAGCAAAATTGAAAACTGCAAAACATAAAAATTTAATAAAGCAAAATTTTGAAAATAAAAAAATTTTAAATCTTGGAAAATTATAAGTGAAAAATAAAAAATTTAAAAACTGAAAAATTAAAAATCGAGAAATTATAAGATTGAAAAATGGGGAAAAACGAAAATTCGGTTAATTGTAAAATCAAGAAATTGAAAAATTATAAAACTGAAAACTCGAAAAACGGTAAACGGAATACCTGCAAATAAAAAAAACTAAAGTTGAAAATTTGTAAAACTGTAACATTGAACAAATAAAAAAGAAATATTGCAAAAACAAAAAAAAAACGAAAAATCGAGTACATAAATGTAAAAAGGAAAAATTGTAAAATTAAAGAACTAAAAAATTGCAAAATATAAAACTGAAAGATCAGATATCGAGAAAAATGATGTATTTACATATAACTCCAAAAATTAAACATTAAGACATTGAAAATTTGAAAAAAAATCGGATAATTTGAAACCGGAGAATTACAATGTTGTAAAAATGAAAAATCGAAAAATTCGAATTCGAAACACGAAAATCCGGAAAATTTTAAATTCTATAAGTACAAAATCGAAAAATTAACAAAGTAAAAAATTTGAACCAAATAAATGAAAATTGAAAAATTTAATAACCTAAAAATACAAAAATTGCTAAATTACACAATTGAAAAATAAACAAATTCAGTGATTAACGTAAAAGAAATATCAAAAATTAAGACATGGAAACATTGAAAATCAGATCATTTACAAATTGAAAATTTGCACCACTGTGTAATTGGAAAATCAAAAACTTGAAAAACTGAAAAATTGAAAAATGAGAATTTGTTAATTATAATTATCGAAAAATTATACAACTTTATAAAATTTTTAAAAATTAAAAAGTGTAATTTTAAAGTCGAGATTTCTCGAAAGAGTTAAAATTGAAAAATCGTAAAATTGGAAATCTAAAATTAAAAAATAAGAAATCATCGAAAACTGTAAAACTGCAAAATTGAAAATTCGACAAATCGATAAATGTAAAAATTAAAGAAACGAAAAATCGAACTATTGAAAAATGAAAAACTGAAAACCCAAAAAATCCAAAAATTTCTAAATTTAAAATTGAATATTTAAAAAACAAAAATTGATAACTCAAAAATCGAAAACTGAAAAATCTCAACATTATAAAATTGTTACATTGGAAAATGGAGAAATTATAAACCAGACATTGAAAAATAAAAATTTTTAAATCAAATAGATTATAGCAAAATTGAAAATTGTAAAACATAAAAATTGAATAAAGCAAAATTTTGAAAATAAAAAAATTTTAAATCTTGGAAAATTATAAGTAAAAAATTAAAAATTGAAAAACTGAAAAATTAGAAAGCGAGAAATTGTAAGCTATAAATTCTAAAAATTATAAGATTTAAAAATGGGGAGAAACAAAAATTCTGATAATTGTAAAATGAAGAAATTGCAAAATTATAAAACTGAAAACTCGAAAAATGGTAAACGGAATAGCTGAACCTAAAAACCTCTAAAATCGAAAATTTGTAAAATTGTAACAGTGAACAACCCAAAAAGTAAAAAGAGATATTGCAAAAACAAAAAAACGAAAAATCGAATACACAAATGTAAAACGGAAAAATTGTAAAATGAAAAAATCAAAAAATTGACACATATAAAACTGAATAATTAGAAATCGAGAAAAATATAATGATATATTTACGTAAAACTCCAAAAATTAAAAATTAAGACATTGCCAAATTTGAAAAAAAATCGGATAATTTGAAACCGGAGAATTACAATGTTGTGAAAATGAAAAAACGAAAACTTAGAATTCAAAACACGAAAATCCGAAAAATTTTAAATTCTATAAGGGAAAAATCGAAAAATTAACCAAGTAAAAAATTTTTAAATCGGAAAACCAAATAATTGAAAAATTTAAAAATTTAATAACCTAAAAATGCAAAATTTACTAAATTACACAAATGAAAAATCAAAAAATTCAGTAATTAAGATAAAAGAAATATCAAAAATTAACTGAAAATAGAGAAATTAATGAAATAAAAAATTGATAAACTGAAGAGTTGTAAAAACAAAATTCAAATTGAGAAATTGTCTAATCAAAAATTAAGACATGGAAACATTGAAAATCAGATCATTTACAAATTGAAAATTCGCACCATTGTGTAATTGAAAAATCAAAAACTTGAAAAACTGGACAGCTGTGAACTAACAATATTGAAAAATTAAAAATGGAAAAACTGAAAAATTGAAAAACGAGAATTTGTTAATTAGAATAATCGAAAAATTATACAACTTTATAAAATTTAAAAAAATTAAAAATCGAAATATTGAAAAATTTCTAAAAATTAAAAGTTGTGTAATTTTAAAGTCGAGAAATTACGAAAGTGTTAAAATTGAAAAATCGTAAAATTGGAAATATAAAATTAAAAAAAAAGAAATCGAAAACTGTAAAACTGAAATATGGAAAAATTGACAAATCGATAAATGTAAAAATTAAAGAAACGAAAAATCGAATTATTGAAAAATGGAAAACTTAAAACTCAAAAAATCCAAAAATCGCCACATTTAAAATTGAATATTTAAAAAACAAAAATTGACAACTCTAAAATCGCAAACTGAAAAATCGCAACATCGTAAAATTGTTACACTGGAAAATGGGGAAATTATAAACCAGACACTGAAAAATAAAATTTTTTAAATCGAATTGGTTATAGCAAAATTGAAAATTGTAAAACATAAAAATTGAAAAAAGCAAAATTGTGAAAATAAAAAAATTTTATAAATCTTGGAAAATTATAAGTGAAAAATAAAAAACTGATAAACTGAAAAATTAAAAATCCAGAAATTATAAGATTTAAAAATGGGGAAAACAAAAATTCGGATAATTGTAAAATGAAGAAATTGCAAGATTATAAAACTGAAAAATCGAAAAATGGTAAACGGAATAGCTGAAAATAAAAAACCCTCTAAAATCGAAAATTTGTAAAACTGTAACAGTGAACAACCCAAAAATTAAAAAGAGTTATTCCAAAAACAAAAAAACCAAAAATCGCGTACATAAATGTAAAACGGAAAATTGTAAAATTAAAAAAGCAAAAAATTGCAAAATATAAAACTGAAAGATTAGAAATCGAGAAAAAATTAAACATTAAGACATTGAAAATTTGAAAAAAAGTCGGATAATTTGAAACCGGAGGATTACAATGTTGTAAAATTAAAAAA